TCAGGCCAAGGATCAGAGAACACCAGCGACTATGCAGAAAAATGGATACGGAAAGATCTAAGATTGCTGAACACATCGCCCATGCCGGTCACACACTTAACTCAAGTGTAACGGAGCGACTTGTCTGATGTGGGTGAAATGGCAGGAAACTGAGCAGTATGGAGGCTGTGGGCAACCTCTTTCGAGGGAACTTGGTCAACCGGAGACTGGAAGAGGGAATGGTTGGCGATAATTTCACGTACTGCCTGAGCAGACTAGAAGATTCAACAGAGACATCAAAAAGAACACGCCTGTATCCATGACAACTGTTCACCAACTGGAAGAGACATCAAAAAGAACACGCCTGTATCCATGACAACTGTTCACCAACTGGAAGAGACATCATCAAAGAGCCGCCCATGAGGAACAAAGAGAGAAGAAAAGTTGGGTTTCGAGGAATCTCTTGTTTCATAATTGTTGAGCTTACTTCCATTTCGAGTGAAAGGGTTGGGTGAAGACATTCGAAGGTCGGTTCCACCAGAACAAATAAAATTCAAGAAAAGGCGACTGCAATGAGAGTAGTCAAACGTGGAATTGGCCAAAAATGTATCTTGAGTGAGTCCATCCATAGCATGTAGAATAGGAAATTAAAGCATAAAGGTACAGGTGGACTAGCTATAAATGACCAGTGTGTCTGCGTAAGTGTTGTGTGTACTTTGATTATGTGTGCCAGAATACGAGGGGAATGGTGACACACACACAAACAGAGATATCATCCCAGTACCCTAGGGTTAGATGGGAATGTCAACTTAAGAGACGAGGGGGTTGTGCTTTTTGCCATTAAATGGGAAAAAAGGGAAGCGGTGCATTCTCACTCTGGCGGTTATGACTTGAAGCCGGACACAGGGCCCCAAAGAATGAGACACAATGTGGGTGGGGAGGAGGGAAAATATGATCGAGTCATGCGTTTGAAGACCAGGGAGAAGAGGAATCCTAGAAATTGGAATGTGCATATGTATGGACATTGAGGAGGGCAGTTGAAGGATCTTTGGCAGCCAGATTTCAGACAGCCAAACGGTGATGTTTTAATGTTGGTTCGATCTTGTTTTAGTGAATTGGTCGGAGCACCAGAGGACCTTGTGCAAAGTACCTAGTCATAGTATTCATGATTTCCAACAGTGGACCATTGGCTGGGTACATTCTCAAACGTCTCGGCAGCAGCGTTGGTGAGAGGCGCCGTCGTAAGCACAAAGTTACAATTTATCAAAGTGACACGTGAAGGAAGTCTCCGTGACCAATTTTCTGTTCTACCGTCATTTTGTGGTTTAGCAGCGGCCAACTGACAAGCGGGTAGGAACAAAAGGGGTCAGAATGTAGGTCAGTAGGCCTGCATACCGCATCTGGTACCGGCGGCTTCACTAAACCTACTTTTAGCGTCATACTCTTCGGCCGAATTGGAGGAAATGAGAGCACATAATCGTGTGAATAAGTGGATGGGCCAAATGAAGGGTGGTTGAGACAAAGAGATGCGGCACTAGAAGGTAGAACAAAAAATAGGGCCGAGGAATGATGACACAACGGTTGAACAGGAAATTGGTCATGAAGACTGCATGTACCAATGGTCCAATGTTGGGAATCCCAAATACTATGGCACAGGACACGGGACTCCGTGACGCTCCGACCAAGTTGCGAAGACGACGTCGAACTAACACAAGAGAGGGACTGTTTTGGTACTTCTTGAAGTATTGTGAAGTTGCGGAATTATAACGAATGCGCCTACATGAACGCAAAGCATTGGGCAAGAATGAGAAAACGGAAGAATTGGAAAATTGAGGCACTTCTTATTTGGGATTATTTTTATTACTAAGGATTGATGAATGCATGTGACCGTGCCATTTATTTGTAGCAAATTTAAGCAAATCTCCCAAAATTGGCAGATTTCAGATGCGGACTCTTATGACCAGATTTAAGTAATGGATGATCATTGAGGATTTACGTGTAACATTACCTAAAGTGTCGATGTAAGCTAAAATTTCACCTAGGGATAAACATTAGCAATGGGTCGACATTCAGCGATCGCAACTGGTTAATGAGGAAGTGTACAAGTACATCAATACTAAGAATGAGTGGAGTAGTAACCGAAATGAACGAATAAAATAGAATTTTTCAATAAATTCTGGAAAGAATGGCAGGCTTGCATTTTTAGACGTTTTCTTTTGTAAAATAACAACCAAGTTGGGCGAGGATGTATATTGGAAATTTTCAACTTGGGTTTCTTTCTTAATTTATTTACTAATCATACTTACGAGCTTACAAAAGTAGTATGATTTTAGCAGACACATTACTAGGACTAAGAATAATTTCTTGTGATAGCGTTATTCAGTCTGAAGGTCAGGTGGAACGGAATCGAACCAAGGCGGATTTGCTAGAAGAAGTCCCTATTGCACCGTAATGCCAGTCCGTGTGAAATTCTCGTCTGTACCACCGTCACAGATCTCATCAGGAT